TGAATTGGGTTGCTTTGAAATAAAGGTGTTTTTCTTTGGTGGTTTTTTTTTTCTTTTCCTTTTCTTTTTTTTCCCCCTTGGGTCTGATTATTCACTTCCCGCTGAGGTTGGCTTTACAGGCTGCCAGCAGAGGTAGTATGCAAGTTTAGAAATCCAGACATGTTTTTATGTATTCAACATATGATATTGCACATCCTGGGAAATAAAATTGACGGAGCTAGTCAAGTTAATTCCACGGAGGCTTTTTTACAGGAGAGCAAACTTTACTTTCTACTTGAAGAGGCACATGCATGCATGTACACGCTTGCTCAAGCTTTCTCTCTGTCTCATGCTCTTAAATTGTTAAGCACCCTGTTAATGTTTCCCATGCATGTTTTCTCTCTTTCCTTCAACAATCTGTAATAAATCTTGTAAATAGTACCTCTTAAACATCTGCAGCCTTGAATAACTTTTTCTGTTTGTTTGTTTAGAGCAATTTTCTCTGTGTTAGACCTAATGAAAATGGATATGGCAAACTTCGCTGTCAGTAGTATTAGGCCAAAATTAATGCAGCAGTCTGCTGAATATGAAAGAAAGAAGTTTCAGGAGTTTCTTGAGAAACAGCCAAGTATGACTTTGTTCCTTTCTTTCTTCCCCTCTGACCTCCCAGTAAACTCCGTGTGTTTGCTTGTAGATCATGAAAAGAAATAGGATTTTTTTTGTAAGTTCTAGCATTCATACGGTAAATGACAGCTTGTGCCCCAAAACTGTTGTTTGAAAAAAATCTGCCGGAACAACAGTTCTGCAGTTAGTACACTGGAGTTTAGTTTCATTTCAATATGGTGTAGGGCATAATTAGATAGCATCACCTCACCTCCAATTTCCTGTAGCTGTGTGGTTTTAATTTTGGTTTAGATGTTCAGCTTAATGCAATAAATGAAATGCATGTCAATAATTGATATCATGGGTATTAGTAACAGTAACTAATGGGATTATTTGGAAACTACGGGTGGAAAAACCTAACTTTGCAAAGGAATTTTCGTAACAAGATTTTTTTATTTTCCCCCCCTGCTCTTCCAGATTCTTTAGACCTTGTCACAAGCTGGTTGCAAGAAGCAGCAGATGATCTCGCAAAGCTGAGATGTGAAATGTTGGCTCCCCACTGTAGCGATGGTGCCACTGGTGGAGCTTCTGCCTTGTGCTCCACGGCTGTACAAAATCACGCCTATCTGAAGCTCCTGAAGTGGGATCATATAAACAGGCCTTTTCCAGAAGTAGGTATTCAGCAGAAAAATTGATTTCTGTGCTTGTTCTACTTTTCTGTTTCTGGGATGTAACAGAAGCTGTTTGGAATTGTAGCCTTGCAACAACTAGAAGACTAAAACATTCATCTCTAGATTGAGAGTTCTTATAGCTCCTCTAACAGATACCTTTTTTTCAGTATTGAAACTTGCTTAGTTGGAAAAGAGGAATTAATTCTTTTCAGTTTGTTCCTGTTACTTGCCTGCTGAGCACGTGTTGCTCTTTCCTGTGTCTTTGTCTTACCTTCACTGCGTGAGTAGGGCAGCATCACAAGGTCACTTCACAGCCCAGCATTCTGACTGTATTCTGTGCTGGCTTCTTCCTTCTTTGCAGACAGTGCTAATGGACCAGACCCGCTTTCAGGAAATCCAGCTGGAGCTGGAGCAGCTCCTCTTGACTGGGACTGTCCTTCTGGTCACGTTCAGTGCGGCAGGCTCGGCACTCGTTGATATGCCTGGATTTGCTGAGAAAATCAAAACCATTGTCAAGGTGCTGCTGACAGGAATGCATCTTCCGTGAGTATCGAGTAATCCCAGTCACGCCGAGGCAGGGGTAGTTCTGTTTTCACCTCAGTAAATAATCAGTTTAAGCCTCTCTGGCTGTGGACTGCAGAGTACGTAGAGGAAGTGATGAGGGCTTTTTATGAGCCTAGGCTGAGAATTTCTATTCAGCTTACTCAGACAGAGCTGTCTTTTTTTGCTCTGTTTTGTTCTGATATGTACATGCTCCTTTTTTCAGAGTGTGTTATTCATGGCGCCTGGTTGGCACACGAGAGTACAAGCAGCTAACCACGCTCACAGTTTGGGCCGGGCTCCCTCGAGAATTTGAGCGTGGTACAGTAGGCTGCTGGCAGATGTAGAGTGACTGCTGTGCACATTATGGGTTGATAACTGTTGTTTTTTGCATTAGTCAGAGCTGTCTCTGTAGGCAGAAAGTCAGCTCTGATTTGTACGGATTGCTCAGGCTGGAAGTCTTTAACGCTATCCTACCTCCTTGTTTTATAGCTCAACTTTATTTTTCGTATATATATAAAATGTATTATTCTTTATAGTTCTGGCTTTATCTGGATTACGCTTCTTCCATTATGCTTGATAAATAAGGCAACTGTAATTGGATAGTTTATTTTTAAAAGGTGGGAAAAAAGCAAATAACTCGTATAGCTAAGTAATGCTCTGCTCCACGTTCTGTAGCTCCTTTAACCTGCAGGAATCTTTGGCTACCATTGGTGAAAAGGTGTGTGCTGAAGTTAACAGCTGCCTTTCCCAGCACGGGTTTACACCGTTCTCAGCTGAGAGAGAGACTGGACTTAAAGGGCAAATCCAAGCAGTGGCCAATCCGGATAACACCATATGCAAGCTGATAGGTATGCTTTGACAAAAATGCTCTCTTCCCAAGTGACCGCTCATCTGTCTGTCTTTGTAAAACTGTTGGTGGTGTGTCGTGCATGGTGTTTCTCGTTTAATGTTTCAACTACCTTGTTTACCTTGTTCAGGCTTTCTGTATTTTACGTGAGAGTACATTATTTCCAATTGACTGTCTCTTTTGGAAACAAACCAAACCCCTTGGTCCAATTTTTCCAGATTCTCGAATTGAAAAGTTTCTGGAGAACTACCTTGCATCTAGTCACCAGAAATCATTACCTGCTATTCCTGGAGGATTAGGCCCTATTCAGAGAGAGCTGGAAGAGATTGCTGTCAAGTATGTTCGTCTTGTCAACTACAACAAAATGGTCTTCAGCCCTTACTATGATGCAGTCCTTGGCAAAATACTGACTAAGGAAGAATCCCAACTTGTAGGGAAGTCCGAAGAATCATAAAACCAGTTTGTGTGCTACCACTATGGTATTGTCAGCTATTTTAAAAAATTGCACCAATATTGTCTAGGAAAACAGCTTTCCATGTAAATACTGGTTCCTTTTAATTCACTAGTGATGATTGTTGAGGAAAATACATGAGATGCAAAAGGGGTTCTGAAATGAACGATGAGAGAGATATGCATTTTTAATGTAAGTATGCAACCTGGGGGGGGGGTGTCTTGGTAGTTTTCTGGCTGCAATTTTTAGATTCTTGAGCTGATGGTAGGTAGGACAAATTTAAGAACCAAACTTTGCATTTAAGTAGCTCATTTTAGGGCATTTTACTCTAATTTACTGTGAATTTAGTTTAATTAATCCAGAGCAGATTAGCAATGGTCCTTCCCAGAAGGGGTGATTTGGCTTTAAAAAAAAGACTTAAGAAGAAAAGCTAAAATTCTAGATAAGAGAAACTTTAACAGGCAAAAAACAAAGCCAAACAGCACTTTATTGTAACATTATGGTTAGTATGGTAGGCTCCTAGTTTTTTCTGCATTTTAATGCATTTTTAATAGCATTTTTTTGCTGTTTACCTGCAGATGTTACAAAACACATAATATATTTTTGTAGCAAATTTTCTGGTTATTGGGTAACTGTCCTCTGCTATGTACAGTACTTACAAAGGTGGCAATCTTATAGATTGCAGCTGTATTTATCTCTTGTAAAGACTTCAGAAGGGCAGAGCTAAAATGTTTTGATAAAAGTGGCATTTCTTACCTTTTTTTTGCTAGTAGTTTACTCCTTTTTATGTGAAATACTAACTTTAAAGTAAATCTTTGTCATTTTCAGAAGATGGATTTAAAGTGTGTGAACCTTTCGGCTGAAAATTTTACTTCTTTTTTAAAACTACAACTGGAGATGGTTGCATATTCAACCATGTCTTCAAAAATATCCAGGAAGTGCAGAGCACTATCGGAAGTATAAGTGATTTTAACGTACTGTGAGAAGTGAATGATTTAATGTTAGTTTGAATATACAGGGAATATTTTCAGTAGAAGATTTTTTTCAATTTGTAGAGCCTGTCTTGAAACTTAAAATATTTGTAGGTCTTGAATTCAATTAGCTACATGTTGTAGAGATGAGTGTTCACGGAAGAGCTCAGTGATCTTACAGCCTTATTGCAATTTCAAACTCAGCTAGGAGGTAAGTATGTTTGAAATTTTCCTCTAGTTGAGCACAACGCTGTAGTACGGTAATCAAAATTTGATGATTTTATGAAAGCAATGTTCATAGTTATAAACACTTAAGTGGCCCAGGTGCTAGACTATCCAAAAGAGAATGTGGTGTTGTCTTAAAAAAAAAAAAAAAAAAAGTTAGGTAAAATAAGTAAAACGGGCCCTCTTATTCCTAACATCCAGGTGCATTTTACTCATCAACTAGTCAACCAAAATAATAGAGCTTCTAGAAGGAAGCTCTTGATTATGAAGCTGTGTTGATGCTTCCCTTTCCAGTTTCCGTTTAAATGTCAGTGTGGATATAGCTGCACTGACTGGGAGTTCGGAGGAAAGTGGGAAAAGTAAGACCTTTTATTCCATATTAGCCTATGCAACTATAAAACAAGTCTTTTCTCAGTCATTACAACCCCCTTTCCCCCTGGGAAAGAAAAAGAAACCACCAACAAAACCCTGTAAGAGATCACCAGTTGAGACAAGTGATTTTTCTCTTGGCTAAATGGACTTGGATAGTAAAATGAATGTCTGTCTTTGGATCTTTCTTTGATAACTCAAAAATGAGTAGGTTGGTTAGCCAGACAAAAAAAAGTTCTGAGTGGGTTTTTGGTGTGGTCTAGTGCATTGTTTGAATCTGCAAAGGATACTACAGAGGTCTTCACGATTGCAGCAGCTGCTTACTGTACTTTGTTATTAGTGCAGGACCCACCTCAAAACACAGCCTGTAGCTCTGCAGCTCCAAACACATTAATTCAGTGGTCTGCCTAACAAAAAAGCTACCAGAAACATTATTGCTAGAGATACAAAAAAAAATAACCAAGACAAAGCTGGTTTTGTGAAATGAGAGTTGCAGAAGTTATAAATTGCTGCTGTTACTTTCTATTTTAGTATTGCCTAGAAGCTGCCTTTAAAGGCCCCTGTGAATTATGCATACTGCGAAAGCTTAGATGCTGTAGGGGGTGATCTCAACACCACTATGGTGAAGCAACTTACTTAGAAAAGGCTTTGCAAAATATGTGGCTGATGCCAGAATGAATGGGACTGCATTATCAATAGATAAAATTGTACTTGCTTAATTTAGGAGGTGGCTGCTCCCGGCTCTGCAGTTCAGGGTCCAGATGGCCATGACAGCCAACTCCTGCTTACTCTGACATCGAAGCGTGGACTGTGCCGCCGCTAGCGCATGCTTATTGCTCGCAGGGCCGATACAGTAAGTCCCATCCCTCCTCGCAGCAGGGGTTTGATCCTTGGGCTTCACGTAGGGAAAAAAGCGCAGTGCCCACCTCTGGCTCCGGTCTCCTTTGGAGGCACACACGGTGGGGATGAGGACCGCGGGGGCGGGTGCTGTAGGCCTTTCAGTCTGTAATAGAAATGCCCACAAGTGCAGTTAGTGATTTTTCCCAGGTTGTTTTCTTAAGGCTGGTGGTTGACAAATAGTTTCTCTACATCCCCTTTAAAAGAAATAGGGAGATACGATTAAGTGGCAATGCAGAAAAGAAATTCTAGAATTGATAAGGCCAGACCCTACCTCCACGTGAACTTTTATACGGTTACACATACCCTGTTTCACCTTGTAGCATGGGCGATAGGAGCACTGACCTACAATCATCGATACTGCTGGTGGCAGGAATGTTTTTCAACCTGTCTGAGTAATTGAATTTCCTGTAGTCCGCGGGGGTTCTTATGGCCTTATCAGAGTGCAGTTCTGAATAGTCCATTACAAGTTAAAATCTAAAGTATGCATAGAAAACTGCGTTGAAAGTTTATCTAGTGTTTTTGTTAGCTTGTTTGAAACATAACAGGTTAAACTATGTAGCTGATATATTAACATTTAGCTTTGTATGTTAAGTGGAAGACCAATGCAGTTATCCAGGACCAGGTTGCGTTAGCTAGTACTCCTGGACAATCCACATTAGAAATATGTACCGAGTTTGTCTTACGATGCTGTCTTCTTTAAACAGTCATGGAATTAAAAGCAAAAGTATACTGTATCCTCTAGAAAAATGGAAAAAAGCTAATTCTAATATGTATGCTCTGATCAATCTCCTGTGATGGTCTTATTAACATCGCTTTTGAAGTGGCTGAGTCATATTTAAGAAGTAACTTGTTGTGTTTGAATAAAACCAGAATGAGGCATGATGTTATGGATATCCTTTTATTTTAAAGGAATGTTTTTTTTCCATTTTCAACTACAAAACAGATTCCATACATTCTGCCATAAATAAAAACGAACAATAAGGCAGGACACTACATGAACAAACTGAGAACAACGGTCTTCCAGAAAATGTGAATTAAAAATGCTTCACAAGTATAAGCCATCCAGTTTTTAAAATAAAACTGTTGAAAACCCACAAGATTTCAAGTGGTAGATGTGAACACCCTTGAAGACCAAAATGCGGTTTTGACATTTTGCACTTTTGGTTTTGAAAACCTAGTTTTGTTCAGAGCACATTCTAAGGTTGTTCTGGCTGTTTTCGGATCAAGAACCATATTGGGAGAAGAGGCACCACAGTAACAAAACCATTTTCAAGATTTTTTTTTTTTTGTTTGCAGCTGTCCCTTTTAAATGCTTGACTTTTAAGAGACTGACGGACTCAATGCAAGTCTTTGTCTATCACAGTAGAACTCCGAACTTGTTTCACCGGATTCTCTTTTGCTGTCGTGCTCTGTAAATGTCATGTACAGGGGGAACTACAGATCCTTTCTCCTCATCGTCGTCGGAATCTTCATGTGGTCTCTTAACGGCCTTATTGAGCATAGCGTTGTTTTCCACAGGTCCATTGCCTTCTACAGCTATTTCAGGTAGGCCTCCGGTAATTATTCGTACAGCTTCATCAACAGCTTTAGAAAGAGGAAAAAGATTAATTTAATCTGTGAAGCTTCATTCCCTGATTAGAAATAAGCATGTAAACAGGAACACCAAGATAGATACGCTGTGGAGATTTCTGGAACATGAGATATTTTCCTACCCTATTTGCCTACAAACGTTAAGAACTCAGTCTCGACTGTCTAAAACTCAGAGCTATAGCAAACACTAATTATAAAGTAAATACTGCTGCTTCAGCTGGAGACCTCCCTTTACACAAGTACTGAGGTCATTTGCAAGCGTAATAAACCAGGAGAGCCTAATGGGGAGACAGTAGAGCTAGTTCCTGACTCATCAGAAAGCATGCAGAGCAAGCTCGTTTCTGCTTATCAACAGGGAAAGCGTCAAGAATACATTTTTTATTTCAATTAAATACACATATAATTTAAATCATGTTTTATTTTCACTCTAAAAGAAGTTAAATCCTAGCTTGCGTTCTCTCTGATCATTTGCTCCTTAAACTAATGGGGGGGGTGAAAGGTAGCATATTATCACCTGCCCTAGTTTCCATGAAGCCCGGAGTATGGATCTGCCCTGGTTTTGTATTTCTGAACACTACCTTCTTTGTAGGAGCGCAGAACACACTGCTCCGGAATTGTTCTCAAGCACTGCAACAGCGTGATGCCTACCAATGAACTTAGCATACTGCAGATTTGTAATTTAATGTTACAGTTACAATGCTGCTAGAAATAATCCCTTGCTTCTTTTAAAGGACATGCTGAAAATCTCCCATTTCTTTCTTTTAATGGTTACCACTAAAATGTTATTAGAGTAGTGGTTGGTGAGTTTCACCTTTTTGTCTTTTTGTTGACCTCCCCACAGTTAAATGTACAAACGTGTCTCTGTAGATTCCAACCTACAAACATAGCCAATTCAGCAGTACACTCTTAAACAATAATTACACATCAGTAACTGAGGGCTGGATTTTAGACAGCAATATCTGTATGCAAAACAAAGTCATATGCAGCACTATCACAGACTCCAGAGCGAACAAGTAACTTACTGTCTGGCAGTTTGCATCTTCTAAATATCTCCATGAGCTCATCCACTTGAACAAAGGGACCCTGATTTGGTATCCAAAAAAAAAAAAAGTTTAGAAGATCATTTTCCAATAGAGTGATAGATTCTGTGGTTCTGTTAAAACAGAATCTCTTCTACAATTTTTTGAAGTTTTCATAATTCCTTAAAACAAACCTGAAAACAAACAGGAGGTGGCAGGAGCTTCATGAGAACTACAGCTGCTGGTGGAACAGGAAATACACCACCTGGGACGGGATGTAAACCTGGAGCTGTGGGAAGAAAAACTATGAAGCCAGCGCAAGACAGCTAGACTTGAATTGCTTTGGCAGTGCTATTATTTGATGCAAATAATTACTACCCCGTCAATTTTGCCTCTACTAGTTACATACTGTTTAGTCAGTGATCTGGAGTCTATAAGCAGGGTGTATAACAGCTTATTACCATTTACCAGACCCCAGACTACTTGTACTTACTTCCATCTGACCTTAGCATTACGTAAAATATATATGCCTTTAGCAATCCAATTAAATAACAGCCTAAAATGTAAGTACATGTTTAGATGACTGAAGACTAGGAAAGCCTCTGTGATGAGGTTTGCTAAACACACAGGTTAATAACTTGCCACCAGGTGAAATACAGCCACCTCCGAGTGAACATCTGACTTACGTGCTAAGTGTCTTGGCTGAAATGGAATCATTTGTTGAGTGTCTGGTTTTGGATATTCAGGTTTTCTGTCTACTTCGTCTTTGAGAACAGGCACGATGGAAGGTGCAACCACAGGGTCTGGAATTATAGCTGCCAGCTTGGCACGGGAGACGTCCTGCGAAAGCCAGTTAGAGAGCACTGAACTTGGCAAGATCACAGTGCTTGTTTAAATTACAGAACAAACCATCGCTCTAGACGGGTCGCTTATTCTCGCTCTGTCATCATTATAATTTCCGATGTCCTCTCAGAAGACCATCTGGGCAAAACTTGCACATTTTCATCAAACATTTTAGCCCTACAGTGTCCCAGCTGGGAGTGGAAACACTTCTTGTTACCGAATGGGACTGTATTTGTCATTTTTGAGTGGCTCCTTTTTTTAGGTTAAAAATATTTAGGTGAACAGGTGCAGGCCATTAGGCCTTCACAACTATCACTTCTCCCTCATTTCATTGCCTAAATTGCTTTAGCTGGAAAAGAAATAAAGCATAAGGCAGTCAGCAGGCATGCAAAGCATCGGTTCAGAGAGGATTACATTTTGGCATGTTACAGGCAACAGAAATCAGCCCAAGGGCTGAATCACCTCAGGTACGCACCAGCTCACGTGCGTTTGTCAAGGCGTACTCTCTTGTAAGCGCACCTGTAACTTCAAAATAACTTTGTCCCGATTGCGTTAATTCCATGGCTCAGCGTGACTCGTATTTCCAGCTATCGGATTATTTTACAACTGTGTGAAGACCACAGTTCAGCTGCTTTGCTAACTTTGATGACTTCTGTATTTTTCAAAAATTACTTTTCTGTGTAAGACATAAATGGAAGCTGAGGCACTATTTTTGAGACATGAACTGAAGGCTCTCTTCCTCCTGTTCATGCAAATGGGAAAGAGCAGTTCCTCCAGCAGAGCTGTTTCTGCTTCTCTGGCAGCCTACTTTCCATCATGCTTAAAAAAAAAGAAATAAAATCAACATTTTATTCTGTTCCAATGGTTTTCCGAAGTCTTATGGCCTTCCATGTGACTAAAATAGTAGTTAAAATGTGTGGTCAGAAATAAGATGGGAGACCACCGGGTACAGGTGTCTGGCCTACACTTTAAATTCCGAATAGCAGCACCAAAGCGCTTTAGCCATAATAAGTGAAAAAAAGCAGGCAGCCACTAATCTCTACAGATCATTTTCCTGAGCCATTTGCAGCAGTCACGGGGACTGCAGTGTGTCTGTTTTGATACGGTTCTCGAGGAAGGGAGTGGAGTTTTGCCAACTGGAGTGGAAGGGCAGCCAGCGATGTTTTGTACAGATGACCTGATTCTACAAACTTCCGTAAAGCATTTTGGTTTTTGAAGGAGCTTGGGTTTAAGTGGAGGCCTGTAGCTGAGTGGTGACGGCATTAAACACATCGACCTTTCCATGGGACAGTGAGGTCAATACGAATATGTGAAGTTGCAGCTGTTAGTCACGTTCCTTGCTCCTTTCTGCCCTTGGCCAACAATGCTGCTGCCCAACAAGACGAGGGGGCAGCATACCAGCCCTGTTTTACCCGCTTTTCCACCAAGGAAAAAAAGTGTAAGGCAAGCCCTAAACAAGGAATTGCTTAAGTTTGCTAGGGCTGAAAAGAATAACAGTAAAATTAATTGTTCTTACCTTATAACCAAGGGCCTTCAGTTCGCTAGCAGAGCAAGGGTACAAATCCATGAACTTATACCTGTCGACCAGCAGAGCTGTTTCTTTGCCCTCATATTCTTCCTTGAATGCTGTAAACCTCCGTTTTTCAACTTTCAGTATACTAGCTAGATCACCAATGTTACTTTCAAAAGCTAAAAACCGAGCCCAGATTTCCCTATAAGAGAACAGATAAATAAGACAGTTGCTGAAGGAGAAAGCATTACTGATCGTCACCCAATTAAATAACACACGAGAGGAGAGATACAAAGGGGGTAATCTGGGAAGACATGGGCATTCC